ACAAAACTTTCGAGATATCACTCTTTCCAGATTTCACCGAAATCCAGAGATTCTGTCCTTGGGTTTCACCTTTACATTGTCCTGAGTGATCTGTTATAAACCGTGAACACCCCCGCAGGGGGTGTCACAGGAAACAAGGAGTATACCTTACCGCTCCTATTGAAAGTCATTTAGGTGCTTGCCTTTTTCTCTGACTTAAAAAAGCACCATTGCCCAGGAACACGAATGTACTTAATGCTACTGAACCGTACGCTTTGGGAAATGGCTGAGGGAAATTTTACCTTCTGTATGTTTTACCACAATTAAAAAAAAAAAAATGTATCTGAGGTATCCCCCTGTTTGCGCTGAGTGCATTCTCTTCAGAGGAAGGGGCCCCGTCCACGGCTTTTCCCAAGACCCTGCCCTCCCTCAGAACACAGCTGATGAAAAAGGACCAGTGGGGTCGCCTAGGACCAAAGTGTGGAAAATTCAGTGTCTTGGTACCCCCGTGTGTCCTGCAACACAAACATGGGCGTATTACTGTGAAGAAACAGTGTACTAAGACAAATAAGGAAGAGGCTGCAGAATATGCTAAGCTTCTGGCCAAGAGAAAGGGGCCAAAGACAAAGGCCAGGGACAGATTGCCAAAAGACAGAGGCTGTCTTCTCTGAGAGCTCAGTACTCCACATGTCCTATGCTCTGAGATCCAGCACAGAACGAAGAGTTGCTTTAATCACATTATTTGTCCTCCTGGACCAGCTGTAGGTTGTGTTAAGTGAAAAAGAGGGACTTCTCATCCGGCTTCTTCTCCCGGAAGCCATTTTCTTTTTAAAGATTTTTTTTTTTTATTTATTTGCTAGAGGGAGAGAGAGCACAAGCAGAGGGAGTGGCAGGCAGAGGGAGAAGCAGGCTTCCCGGCTGAGCAGGGAGCCCGATGAGGGACTCGATCCCAGGACCCTGGGATCATGACCTGAGCCGAAGGCAGACGCTTAACCGACTGAGCCACCCAGGCGTCCCTCCCGAAAGCCATTTTGATAGGTGATTCACATTCACCTGGGGTTGGCTATTGACCCACGTGATCCGTTCACCCTCGGTGGTCCTCAGTCACGCGCTCCCTTACCTTCACAGAACATTCTAGATTGCTCTTCCTCCTACCTCCCTCATGAAGCCTGTGATTCCTTCCCTTCATTCTCTTCTCTTCTGCCCTCCCTCAGTCTCTGACCTGTGTCTTCAAAGTCCAGACTCCAGTCCTGGTGGAACCCTGAAAATACGGTTTTATTGTCGTATTTTTTTAAACTGGTTAATGGGGGCCTATGGGTAGAGGGGATTTCCAAGTCCCTACAATCCTCTTCTCTGAGCAGTAAGAGCAGACTTTACTGAGTGGAGAATTTTCTCTCCCCCCGCCCGCCTTCCACCACACAACTGTCCAAAGGCGCTCCCCCAAGAAGGGAAAAAGGGAAATATAAACTTAGCACCTTATGCTTCTTAGAGCTGCTGCACCTCAAGCTCCCCCCGCCCCCCCCCCGCGCATTATCTTACTTGATCCTCAAATCCCCACAGCTGTGGAGACAGGCCCCCCGGGGAGGTTAGCTCGTTCTGAGAAACAAAGCCCGCTAATTGGCAAAGCCAGGGCTGGACCCCAGCTCTCCTGATTCTGGTCCTGTGCTCTCCACCGCACCGCAGCGCATTTGCTTGAGCCGTCGGGCAAGATCGTTTGGAAGGCAGCCCAGTCCCTTTTCTCTTTGTTGATACAAATCATGTGCAGATCTCTGGTTTCTAAAAGAGACGGCAAATTGAAAAGGAGAAGGTGGTAACTACAAACAAATGAAAGACCCCATTTATAGCCCTCTAGAAAAGTGAATCGACAACACAGAATTTTGTCTGTAATGGAAGAAAAGTTTCCGTTTATTTTTGCGCTGTCGATGAGTGCTTCCAGACTTTGGAGCTCCAAATAGCTCCTAGTTGCGCTCTGTTGAAAGCCTCGAGTTACAATTAAGGAAGGATGGGAGTCTTTCTTCATCATTATTATTATTATTATGGAGCAAAGATCTGACCTGACCTAAAACAGGATCTGCTTACACAGAAGGGAGAAATAGACTGCCGGGTGGGTTGGAAAAAAAAAAAAAGAAGAAGAAGAAAAGAAATCACTCCAATTTATTAGCATCACGTTCAGGAGAAGGCTGGCGGTTCCCCAATTTGGACAGTCAGCCCGTGCTATTCAGGAATACATTATCAAAACTGCCAAGCCCCCAGTTTTCCTTTCTTCTATCTTTTGCTGATCACAATATGACCACTTCAATGATGTTGACACCCCCACTGGCTGGGCAAGATTGGAGTGTCCCGGCTTCTGGGAAACTTCATTATCTGGGACACAGTCGCAACCTGAATGTATTTGGGAAAAGCGACTGGACAGTAAAGCAAATCGCTCTCCCCCGGCCACATCACTTTTCTCACTGGTAGAGTTCTGTGGCCCCTCTTGCTACATGTTCTTCATAGTTACCCTAATAATCATTAAAAAGTTAAAATGTTTTTGAAAGCAGAAGTAGTTTTGTGGTGGGATTGGTTTTCCCTCAGCTGGCACATTAATGTTAATTATGGGCATTGACTGGGAGCAGCTATCTATCTATCATCTATCTATCGATCTATCTATATTGGCAGTATGCTCTTTTAAAGTCTATGAAAAAATGGTACCAATTTGTCAACACCTAAGCGGTGATTATGTTCATTATCAGAACAACCTTGTGTCCCCATTCATGCCAGATAAATGGGGGACATTGTTGTACTTGACATACAGGGCTGGGGACTGTTCCTGCCCACATGCCCCTGGCATGGCTGGGTATCTGTGCCCTCCCCCCACATCCCATTCAGGCCTCCCCGCCTGGCCCTGAGGTGGCTCTCACAGCACCCCCTCTCTTCCTGTCATTGTCTTGGACTGCTGCCCAATCCCTGACCCCCACCTGCACGGCCTTAAGGCTGAAACTAAGACGAGATCAGCCAATGGGGCAAGGCCAGTCGAACTTCAAGGAGTGGATCCTGGGAATGAAAGTAAGTTCATTTAACTTATTAACAGCTCCAGTAAAATAACAGATGGGCTACAAGGTCAAAACCAACACCTTGAATGAGGTTTACGTGTTATCAGCTCATGGAAGTGCCCCATAATGTTTGCCTTGCTGTCACAGAAATCAGCTGTATTTAAGCAAGTTGGCTTAATGCTAAGAGGTGATTTTTCTGTGTGTTCAATGAAGCCCGAACAGCCCCCATCAGATCTAAGCTTTTAAGCCCGAAGCAAGCAAGTTCTGATGACCTTCTTGAGACAAGGGAGAATAAATGAAAAAACATGCACCTGTAGCTTTACCCATCAACTGATGGCTCAGTTGAAGCATCGTCCCTCTGGCTTGTGATTTACGCTATTTGATGGCTTTTCTCTTTTAGTAAGCCACACGTTTGAGACTTAGAAAGGTGGCGTCTAAAAATTAACTTTGATAATAGCTGACAGTGATGGGTATGAGAGGTTGCTTTTTTGTTTTTGTTCTTGTTTTACTATATAAATGCTGGCTGGCATTTATTCTTTTTTTTTTATTATGTTAGTCACCATACATTACATCATTAGTTTTTGATGTAGTGTTCCATGATTCATCGTTTGCGCATAACACCCAGTGCTCCACGCAGAACGTGCCCTCTTTAATACCCATCACCAGGCTAACCCATCCTCCCACGCCCCTCCATGAGGTATGAGAGGTTTTTTTAAGGTGTATCCCGAAAAACTGCTTCAGTGGGAAATCCTCACTCAGCATCGTGATATTTCAAGGTGCTTCAGAATTAAAGGGGGAAAAAAAAAAGTAATAAAGCAGTTCCAACTTTTGAAACCCTTGGGAAAACGACCCATTTAGCCATTTCAACGTTTTCTTCCCCCACAATCACCTCTAGTGTGTTGGAATTGAACATACAGGTACAAATATCGCAACAACCCAACCCTCAAATCTAAACATCATTTCCCAAAGCAACAAGGATTCCTTTTCTACATAGTACTGGGTCTCAAGGCTGGCATCTCTGAGAGAAGAGTCTTAGGCTATTGCTTAAACAACCTTTATTACCTGCCTCTGACATTCCCCCAGGTTACAGAGGAGGGGAACATCTGAGGCTCGTGTTCCGTACATGGTACATGAAGCAGACAGCGCTGTAACAACTGAATCCACGCGCGGGGAGGGGCGGCATTTGGAGGTACTGAGATGATGCTACACCCACCAACGGTTACCCACACGAGAAGACGGCAAAGCTGCTAAAAATCGGGCAAGTTACCTTTGGGATGACAACTGGATGCAAGAAAGCCATACAGTTGGGGTCATAGGTCTTCCCCTGCCCTTGGGGCTTCCCTCCCCCTCCAGTCCCCGGTTCAGTCCGTTCTAGCCCACAGACGGGTCCTAGTGTCCTGCTAGCTCCCTGCTGCGAGAGGGAGGGAGGGGAAAGATGTCTGAGGTCTCTTGATTTTCTTTGTCTCGATCCCTAAGGCAACAGGAAGCTGGAGCTGCTGCGGCCCGCCTGGCAGTGACAGCAAGCCCGCTGGCTCCGCACAGCGAGCGGTCCCTGGCTGCCCTTGGAGCAGCTGCCCGTTAGACGGCCCAGAGTTCTGACAGACTTCACTGCTTCACTTCAATGCCAAGTGTTGGACGTGGTGGATTCAGTTCCCAGGGGGCTGGAGGGTGGTGTCAGGGCTGTTTGAAGACAAGAGAGCAGAGGCAGTTTAGTGCAGTTGGGTGTGCGGGGCGGGGGATGGAGGCGCGGGGTGGGGGTCGGGGGGCAGTGGAGAGGAGTGGAGAGGAGGGAGAAGCCGGCCAGGGGTGGGTAGGGTGGTGCTTCTTCCAGGGCCTGCCAGACAAGGTCGGCGGGCCTCTCCTTGTCTGGGCCTCAGGTGAGGCGGCGCCTGGAAGGGAAGGAAAGGAGCAGGCGGGCGCGGCGCCCAGGGACGCGGGAGCTGTGGAGGGCGCGCGCGGGCGCGCGAGGGGGCCAGCGGGGCGGCAGTTCTAGACCCGCTCGGTGCCCGGGGCCGGGGCGGGCGGCGCCCCGGGGGCGAGCTGGCGGCGGCCCTGGGCCGGCGAGCCGGCGGCAGTCTCGGCGTCGGCGGCGGCCCACTCGTGCGCCGCGCAGGCCTGGGCCGGCTCGTCCTTGGCCTCGACGAGCTTGCGGGAGCGGGTGTAGGCCAGGATGAGGCCTCCGGCCAGGCAGGCGTAGAAGATCATGATGAGCAGGATGTAGAGATAGGCGTCGTCGCCCTTGGCGCTGGTCGCCTCGCGGCCCACGAACGGGTCGGGCACGACCCCCATGCCCATGCTCGGGCCGGGGCCGGCGCCCAGGCCGCTGGCGTTGCCCCGGTGGTGCAGCTCGAGCAGCAGGCGGCTGAGGAGGGTGCGCAGCCGCTGGCTCTCGCTGCAGTTCATGGCTGTCGGGGAGTGGCACGGCGGCTCCAGGACGCTGCTGACCTTTCCCCCGGGGCGAGGGGAAGCGGGCGAGCGGCGGCGGCAGCGGCACCCGGCTCCCGGGGCGGGCAGTGGCTGGGGGCGCGGGCCGCGCGGGCCTCCTTATCCCCTCACCCGCGCCCTCCTCCCCTTCCCCACCACGCCCCCTCGGGCCCGAGGCCGCCTCTTCCCAGGCTCCGGCGGCTGTCTCGGCGCTCTGGGGAAAGGGGACAGCTGGTGGGGGGAGGAGAAGGGGACAAGGGAGGGGGCGAGGCCCGCGGAGGGGCGGGGGCGCGGAATGCGCGAGGCCCCAGGCAGCGGAGGCTGGCAGGGCAGCTCGCTGGGGCCAAGCCTGGACCCTGGGCTGCGGAAGAGAATTCCTTCCAAGTTCTGGCCACCTGCCCTGCGGGCCCGGCGTTGGCCCAGACACAGCCTCTGGGCCCCCAAGGCAAGCCCTGCCCCCCGGGATTCCGTCAGCGCTGCCTGACCGTAACGGGGACAGCCGAGGCCGCTCGTCCACGTCCAATGGCAACTGCTCCCATAGACAAGGACCCTGGCCTATCTTTGCAGCCCTTTTTCCTTCCCCCGCGCCGAGGAGGAGAGCATCTCACTCAGAAGATGCCCAGGAAAACTTGGGTGACTGAAGCCGACTACGACTCCCTGGCCTCCCAGAAGGGTGGCTGACAATACCCCAGCCTCCTTGGAAGTACCCCTGCCCTGTCCTCCTATCCCATTTGTTAGAGAGGCCTACACATCTTAGCATGTGACTATACCTTCCACGATGCGACTCTGTTTCCCCCGGCAAGCCATCTTCCCAGAGATGAAGCCAAGCTCTTCCATTAAGAGGAACACGGACATTAAAAAGGCCCTTGGACGACAGTCTCTAGATGTCTCAGGATCTGAAAAGTGCGTCTTCTAGAGAATGCGCGCCCCTGCCGCCTCCACATCCGGTTAGGCCCTCTGGCACCCAGCCCCGAGCCCCTCCAGGGCTTGGTAACAGGTCTAGGCCTGTTTGCCGGCTTGTTGGGGGGGCAGCCATTTTTTTTTCCCCCGGAGGGTATCTTCTTTTAAGGGAAAACAAGGCACTGAGACAAAGGTCAGACCACAGTATGTTAAACTACAAACAGCCTGGGTCTCACCAAGGAAAGGTGTTCACAGGATTGATTTGCAGACAGTGAGTAGAAAAAAACAGGAGGTTGTGCTGATCAGGTCTGGTTGCCGAGTGAGAATAGAAGGAATGAAAAAAAGGATATGCCTTTAGGCACGCCGTGAGAATCAAGCTGCCTGCTCCAGACCCTTTGGTCCAGAGGCCATTCAGGCTGCAGGTGCCATGGGTTGATAAAGGAGGGGTTTTGGGTGCCTCTGCCCCAGCCGCCCTTCAGGGAATGCAGCCTTCTGCGTGTTGGGGTGAGGTTGGCACCCCAGGGCTTTATATCCAGGGTCTCCAAGAGAGCCTTAACAGCTTCTACACAGATCTCAGAGGCATTCCACCTGGCCCTGATCACTGACGCCCTCCCAACCACCTTACCTCAACGGCCTCACCCCAGAGGGGCTCAGAGAGAACTGCTAAAGTGACTTGGCGTGAATGCCGGGGGACACAGCTAGAAAATTCTCAAAACAGCATCAACCTAGGGACAGGACCGAAAGGCTAAAACACTTCTGTTATCTGTTACATCATGCCCAGAAATCTCTAGGGTTTGGGGGGCGTGGGGGCGAGGAAGAAGCCCCTTCGCTGTCGCGTAAAAGTCATCATTTAAACTCCTGTTGTGCTTTATGAACTAAAAGGATTATTCCCATTTTCAGAAGAGGAAACAAGTTCAAGTAGTTAAGTAGCGGGACTAGAATGATAAAGTTTGAGCTTGTTCTTCTCAGTCCTAACACATGACTCTTGTCACATGGACGGTATCCACGAGCTGCCTCCATTTCCCCACCTCGCCTTTCCCCGGAACCTTCTGGAATCCAGCACATTTTGCCAAACCGCTCTCTGTAAGTTCACCAACGACCTCCTGACCAAATTCAAGGGTCTCTGCTCAGTTTGCATCTCTGACCTCGAGGATAAATTTGATACCATCAACCACCCACCCCTTCCTGTAGCTTGGCCCTCATGGCATTGCATTCTCAAGTTTCTCTTCTTATCTCTCTGACCCATCATTCTCTGTCTCCTTTGCTGGCTCCTCTTCTTTCCTCCTCCCGTTAACTGTTGGAATCCCTGAAGGCTCAGTCCTCAGCTTTTCTCTCTTAACGTCCATTTCCTTGGAAACTGTCTCCTTACATGGTTTCATGGACCACCTGGTGTATATTTAGCCAAATTTGATTCTCTAGCTCTGGTTCTTTCTCAAATCCACCTGCTCCTTCCTTTCTGGTTTTGCTGCCACAAGCTTAATCCAAGCTCTCATTACCTCAGGTCAAATATGCAAACTGCAGAGTCTCCTGGCAGATCTCCCTGCCTATAACCCAATCCACCCTGCTCTGGCTAGAATACAGATCTTCCTCGACTTACAATGGGGTTATGTCCCGATAAACCCATCGTAAGTTGAAAATATCTTAAATCGAAAATGGACTTACTACACCTAACCTGCAACACAGCTCAGCCTAGCCCATTTTAGACGTGCTCAAAACTCCTCCGTTAGCCTCCAGTTGGGCAGAATCATCTAAGACAAAGGCTATTTGATAATGAAGTGTCGAATGTCCCATGTAACTTGTTGAATACTGTAGTGAAAACAGAATGGCTGTGAGTGTACCGGTTATTTATGAGAGCAAATCAGAGCACAAATAGCCAGCCCGGGAAAAGATCCAAATTCAAAACAATTTGAAGTACAGTTTCTAAGAATGTGCATCGCTTTTGCACTATCACCACGTCAAAGAATTGCTAGTCAAGCCACCCTAAGTCGGAGACCGTCTGTCGCTCTCTTCTAACACCACTTCCTCCAATTCACCCCTATGTTCAGAAACCCAGAGTCACTCCCTGTTGCTTCTTTAATGAAGACCAATTTTCTTGGGTGGACCTGAGGTCCTCACCATCAGTGGACACCATCTCCTCCCCTTGAATTTGAAAAACAGCTTTTTCCTGGAGTTCTTCTCCAATATACTGTGCCTTTCACCTTCCTCAAAATGCCCTGATTGGAGGAAGCCTTGCTTGATAGCCCTGTTTGTGCTCTCAGAGTCTTTACAATGCAACCCTCCTGGTGGTGCCTTACCTCTGACTTCAGCATTCAATACAGAAAATTGGGAAAATGGGGAAATGCCAAGAAACAACATTACACGCATGCACACCTGCATGCACACCCACTGCATGCAGAAGCACGCACTCACCCCCCTCCCCCCACATCATTGTTTTGCAACCTATCTCTTCACTTGACATCTTGTGAATTTTTCCTATGTCAACTACATTCTAATAACATCATTTTATGGGGCGCCTGGGTGGCTCAGTGGGTTAAGCATCTGCCTTCGGCTCAGGTCATGATCCCAGGGTCTGAGATCGAGCCCCAAGATGGGTCTCGGTCAAATAAATAAATAAAATTTTCACAAAAATTTAAAAATCATTTTATTGTCTGCACAGTATTTTAGACTATAGATCTACCATTATATATTTAAGTTAGCTCTTGTTGTAAGATTTCTGGTTATTTGCAGGGTTTTGCTATTCAAAATAATATTTCAATGAATACATACAAAGCTAATTCTAATTCCATTAAATGAAATAATTGCCAGAGAGAGAGCACATCACTCCTTTACAGAAGACTGGCATGGGGGACGGGAGATGTGGAGAAGGGGGTGGAATCAGGAATGGAGACTAGTCATAAAATTTAAAAAGGCCCAACCCTCAGCAAAAAACAACAGGTGTGTGTGGGGGGGATTCTGGCTTTCTTTTCACTCAAGGGGCTGCTGGGCATCCCTTCAAATCCTAGTCCCAGGCCAGCCCTGAATGGCTGAGATGCCAACCCCATTTCCCTACCACACTTAATGATTAACTGCAAATCCATCAGACAAGGATCGGGTCTAATTCCTCCCCACCCTTCCACTGCCCCCCCCCAAACCTGCCCCCATACCTGCCAAATAATCATCTGTTTATCCATCGTCGTCTAGAACTCACTTATTTCCTAGATGGTAATCAAGTGTGTCAACAAAGGGAAGTAATTTATAAGCATGTATTTGGACTTTCAAAAAGTCTTGGAAAAGGTTCCGTTCCATGCCAAGTTTGTTTTAAAAGTACAATTGAGGCGCCATGGGCTCTAGGAAATGGAAGTTGGTTGAATTGAACCGGAGTTGGATTTGGCGCATGGCCAAAGGACGGGCGCAGATGGTAAGCACTGTTGGAGTCCAGAAGGCTGGCAGACCCACAATGGGCTCCGAGGAAGGGGAAGAAGGGAGGCTTCCTGAAGCACCAAGTACAGACTGAGAAAATCATTCATTCGTTCGGCCATTCGACAAATATTTATCGCGTGTTCCGCTGGGCAGGGCGCTGTGCTGAGTCCTACAGACACGTGGGTGAACGAGTCACACTGGTGAACTGTCTGTGGCTTCATGACTCTCACAGCCACTAGGGGAGCTGCAAAAAAGCAGGGAGCGGAAGGATCTGGAGTGAAATGCATAGTGGGCGTGAAGTCTTGCCAGAGCTCTGTTTTGGAGAGAATGCGGACCCTGGACCCACGTTTTAAAGCACTAGAGTCCAAAGCCTTGTTCGAAGAAGGAAGATCGCCAGTGGTCTGAACTCACTCTTGTGGCAACCCGCCCTACCCCTACGGGCTCCCCCACGGCAGGTCCATTCTCAAAAGCGGGAAGAGAACAGATGAGAAATTTCCTGGGTCCAACTGGGGCTTCTCAGTTGTTCCATAGGAATATGTGTGGTCTTTGGTGGTGGTGGGGGGGCGGGGGGTTGATAAAGGTCACAGTATTTGTGGGTTGGAATGGGGCCTACTTTAGAGACTTTGGGGCATCTTGGTGGGCTTGTGCTGAGGTCACCCTCTATCCAAGCCCCAAACCGGAGCATCAGATGCGGTTCTCTGAGCCTCATGGATTGAATGCTTAACATGTGCCGGGCGGATTCTATACATTATATTCATTAACCTTACAGCAACCCTCCGAGGCGGGTAGG